TTGTCCTCAATACATCTCCTGTGTTTCTGCTGTTATATAAGAATAGGAGGCAGAGTCTCAGATGAACAAAATGCAAAGTGACAGCTATGAGGGTAAAAACATCTCCATTATATCACTGAAATCACAGCAGGAAGTTCAAGGTTGTTCCAGTGTCTTTTTTCTTATATCCACGTAGATCATTGTACAGATTTCTTTATTAGAGTAGAACTTATATTTAAGGGTAAATCAAGAGAAAGATGGAGCCCATATATAGGAGCATAAACCCTACCAAGGCTCAAACCTCCCCTCCTCTCCCTGGCAATGGTGCACATCAGGTTCATACGTGGGTTTTCTAACAGCTGGTCCTTCAGTAAAGTCAGTTCAGTGTCTGTGTGGAGATGGCCTTTCAAGGATGGTTTATTGTCTTCTACAGGACGTGAATATGGGATTCCACAACCAGGACTGTATTGAACATGTGCATCTGATCACATGGAAATGGTCCTGAGAAGTGAGATCTACTGACCTAGAAAATCTCTCTGAAAGGAATGCGGGATTGGCAGTTAGTAATCTACAGTCAACATGGATTTTGGAAGAGAAATTGGCAGTCCTGTCATGAAAAGCAAAAAATGACAGATTCCATTAACTGAGGCCAGGAATCCTGTACAGACCTAGTCCTGTCCATGAAAAGTGATTTTACCACAGATGTGATGTTACAAATGTGTACTAAAAAGTTCCACAAGAATCTACTAATTTGAAAACTGGAAGGTGCTGTTGTATGATGAGGTCATATCTTAGGGACAGGAAAGGCTCTGCAGAGCTCAGTTCGCTGCCCCAAAGTTCTGTTTCCTACTTGCTGTGTTTAAGAAGAGCAACATTAAATCCACAGCATGACGACCTTCAGAGAGGGAGAGCCTTTGGCATGCTCATTCCTAAATGGGATGTCTTTGTCACAACCCTCCCCTCAGTGCTCAGGAACCTATGAAGAAGAGTGGCTGGAATGATTGCAAGAATCACAATGTTTGGCAGCATCAAGGAAACAGTTTTTAGGGACACTATAGCAGACACACATATGAACTTGGGCACTGTGTACAAGACATGGAGAAGCTCAAGCCTGAGGTGACTTCTTGCTTGGACAAATAAAGCTTTTCTGAAAATGAGAGGATGCAGCATGTCACTAGCTAACCACAGGTCTGGAAGTCTGTACAGACAGACAGGAAGTGAGGTGGCTGGGCAGAGTGGATATAAGTGGGAAGAAACAGGAAGGTGGTCTTGTTTTACCTGGGATGCTAAAGAGGTCAAAGTGGCTTTGCCTTGCTCCTTCTCTCTAATAGCTCAGCATTTTCTCTACATTTGACTCCAGGTTTTAAACATTTATAACAATTAAGACCTCCATTAACACAAGTCAGACAAAATCCAACCATGGAGTAGTGGCAGTGGGCACTAAGTCCCAATCTTATCAATGAAGCCATTCACAGTTGACAACTGCTGGGAGGAAGTCAGTTTTCCACAGCAGAGAGACACAGGTTACATCAACCACACTTCAGAAGAGATGTTTGACAACAAAACAGCGACTTTACGGAATATTTTAGTATTTGTAATTTTTGTTTCTGTTTTTCATTTCAAGTGACAGAAATAAAGATAAAAGAAGGTAGTTAGGGAGGTATTGTAAAATCTGTAGGACATTAAGGATGGAAAAAATTTTTAGAGAATTAATTTAAAATGTGAAAAGCATGTGTATAAACACCCAGGCAGTGGATGCAGTAATTATATTAGATTCTTGTGTCCTATTCATGTACAATCATGAGTAGAGTAGACATCAACAAGTAATTTGTACACTATCACCAGTATTTGAAATTTGGTTTTCAAAAGTCATAGGCTGTCAATCACTAATTTCTATATCAATAACATTGCCTTATATGAAATTTATGAGCTGGTGTGGAAACAGAAGCCTGGGCAATTAACTTACTATCTCATATCACTCTTTCTGTTTCAAATACTGAGTATACATCATGAAACAGTTTTGTAATGTGAATTCCCAGTGTATTTTCTGACTTTCTTCTCTTCCTCTGTCACCTCCCCTTCTCACCTCAGCCTCTCGGAATCAGAACAATGCTGGCCATGCCAGGGTTTCCTCCTTTTCATTCTCCATGTGTCTCAGGTCAGGCAGCATTTGTCTTCCTGTTCCTGGACTATCTCACTTGTTGTAACTCACTCAGGTCCATTCAGTTTCACACACAGGACAGAGTTTTCCTCATCTCAAGACCACATCACAGTATTCTCACAGATTCTCTTTGCCATCCTTCCTTTGTCAATGACTTCTTCCTCAAATACTGTGAATAATTTCTTCTGAATCATTTTATTGTATCTTCAATCATTTTATGAATCGATGACATATTTTGATGATAGTGATCAGCCAATCATCCCATTAACTCCTCAATTCCCCCACCCCACAACCCACTCTCAGCTTCATAGTGAAGTCCTTTTCTTATCTTGACTCCTGGGAATGATCCTGCAATAGATGCAGATGTTGGTGTAGACCTCTAATCAACACACGTTCCTGTCTCTCATCTGTAGCCTATTGGTTGACTGGGAGAAGTTATGGTGAAGCTGTGTTTTGTTTGGTGAAGAGTGCACACCAGTCTCACCACACTCATGTTCAGACAAACCAATGAAATGCTTTATATGTGAATCAGCCATTATTATCTCTTGTTTCTGACAAGTTATACTAAGATACCTGATGGGCATTCCCATGTGCATTTAACCTGTGGATCAATAATAATTTAAAACTGGAAATTCTTTAACATCTATGAACATAGATAAGTATTGTTTAGATAAATGCCTATCAAGTATTTTTTTACTATCTAATGGACTTTTTCTCATCTTTTGACTGAGTTACCTGCATATGTGTATATGGGCTCATGATCATATTCATGCTGAGTGAATATTTTCAAATTTCCAATGTGAAGTGGTCATCTCTGAAATCATGTACATAAAACACTGAAAAAAACTGATCATGTTGTCCTATATATTTCTCTTTCTCATTCTCTCTCTGTCTCTCTCTCTGTCTCTCTCGCTCCCCCTGTCTCTCTCTCTCTCTGTGTGTGTGTGTGTGTGTGTGTGTGTAAATAGCTCATAAGGAGGAGGAGGCTAGGAATTGCGTAGTGAGAGTTTGGGTAGGTATGGCGTAAATCTGTATGTCTTTATTTTTCTTTCTTGATTTAGTTAATATGTCTAATATTGATTTATAGGGAACAGCGATCGTGCATCCCACCATCTTTCTTAATTAGTTTATTGATTCTAATTTCTCATGTAACTTTGACTTTTCTAATATATATATATATATATATATATATATATATATATATATCACTGTAGAAAGCAAACAAATAGACAAAATAAGGGATTTAAAGAAGAAAACTCACAAGAAACACACCTGCACCATGCTGAAAAAGAAAACTTTAGAAGCCAAGGTTTTGGAAGTCTCTGAGTTTATCAAGAGTCCATTTTGGCTCCCCTTGCCTCTGTCTAAGAACCATAAGCACTGAAACAATAACAAGGGTTGTTCTACTCAATAGGTTGAATTTCATGACACATTTTTGTAAAATGTCTAAGGTGTGACCATCTAATATTAGAGTTGTCCAATGAATCCTGCTGGTAACTCATGAGGGTCGGACAACACTCTCCATATATATATATATATATATATATATATATATATATATATATTTATATACTATAGAAAGCAAACAAATCGACAAAAAAGGGATTTAAAGAAGAAAACTCACATGAAACACACCTGCAGCATGCTAAAAAGAAAACTTTAGAAGCAAAGTTCTTTGGAGCCTCTGAGATTATCAGTAGTCCATTTTGCCTCCCATTGCCTCTGTCTAAGAACCATAAGCATTGAAACAATAACAAGAGTTGTTCTACTCAATAGGTTGAAATTCATGGCACATTCTTGTAAAATGTCTAAGGTGTGACCATCTAATATTAGAGTTGTCCAATGTATCCTGCTGGTAACTGATGAGGGTTCAACAACACTCTCCAATATCCTTTGCTAAAGCATGGATGAACTCAATGTTCTTCTCCTGGATCACAAACACATTTCACACTGAGGATGGTCAGCTGTCTCATGGACCATTCCGTGTGGCTCAGGTTGAGGAACATGACAGTGGGGACCTCATTCTCAGTGGGAAGGATTCTTTCTGTGAAGAGCTTAGGGATGAGTTATGGCATGTATTTACTCACAGTGGATTAGGACTTGTCAATCAGCGTCCTGCTGCCTGAATTGGAGGCTTCTGCCTTCTTCTCAGGCTGGATCAGGTCTTGATAATAAAGGCTCACTGTCTCATGAATATGCAAATGACCTAAATTCATGATGCTAAATACTGGGATGTCCATAGACCACAGCAACAAGAGAAAAATACTAATCCACTACCAAGGGCCCCCTAGAGTGCAGAGGCCTCCTCATTGACATCCATGTTGAGTGGTCTGGATCAGTCCTGTACTGGCCTCCTGTTTACATATATTATTTTCAGGTCAAGTTGTCATTTCCAAATTCCTCCCTGATCCTTCCTACCTTCTTACCACTTAACTACAAAAACTTTGTTTATAGCTATAGAGATCTAACAAGTAGACAACAAAGAAAAGGATTAACACACACACACACACACACACACACACACACACACAAACACACAGAGTTGTAACCGGTTGGAAAGGCAAACTTTAATTTCTTGTGTATAAAAGAAGCTTGCATGTTCTCCCGATTTAGGTGTTTTTGAAATTTCCAGGTACAATTATTACCACCAACCATGTACCAATTTTGTTTAAGAGGACAAGTGTATCAGAGATTTGACCTTGGTGCTATACCCATAACATCCCCTAACTTCCTCTTCTCCAACTAACCTAGGTCATTATCTAAAAAATCAAATAAACAAACAAAAAACAAAAAACTTCCTCATGAATATACAAACCACCTGAGACTGCTGGTGAATGCAGGGATGTCCACACCACCACCAATATATATGATCAGTGTCCTCTCCACAGTCAGTGAGCACACAGGTCCTCACCATTGGATGGAGCTGGATCATTTTATTCCTGGTGACAACATTTACAGGTAAAGGCTCCAAGTTCCAGACTAGAAAAAGGGCATGCACTCAGGAGACAGTGACACCCACTCTGCCCTTCTCTCCACAGGTGTCCACTCCCAGGTCCAGCTGCAGTAGTCTGGGCCTCAGCTTGGAGCCTCAGTGAAGTTGTCCTGCAAGACTTCAGGCTACACCTTCACTAACTATGCTACACACTGGGTGAAGCAGAGGCCTGGACAGGGCCTGGAGTGGATTGAATGGATTTATCCTGGAGATGGCAGTACTAGCTACAATCAGAAGTTCCAGTGTAGGGAGCCGTCCCTGCATTCTCCATTACAATGATGGTGCCTGCAGGCACTGAATGTAAATTATTGCGCAGGCGCTGGGTAATTTTCCATTTCCTTGATCTCTGCCTATTCCGTGGCTCATATGGCCTGAGGAGCTGAAGCCAATCATAGGGTGACACGTCCCAGGCAGCGGCTGCCAGCCTTTATTAGGGGACGGGATTCTTGGCTCGGGGTCTCCGCTCTGGTAAACTTATGCTCTCCTCTCAAGACGCATTAAAGCTTTCCTGCAGAAGGATCCGAATGTCCTGTGTGGTTCTTGCTGGCGAGACTATTGCGCGGGACATTCCAGGGCAAGGCCAAACTGACTGCAGACAAATCCCCCAGCACAGCCTTCATGGAGCTCAGCAGCCTGACATCTGAGGACTCTGCTGTCTATTACTGTACAAACTCACAGTGTTGCAACCACATGCTGAGTGTGTAGAAAACTCTGGAGGAGCAAAAAGCTGCCCTGGATCTGAGATGGGAGAGAAGATCCGCCTGGAGACTTGGTCTGGAATAGTTATTCCGAATGTCTCTTTGTCACCTCCCAGTCCTGTATGGTGTTTGCCAACATTTCCAAAGGAAATCAGAAAGTTAAAGATAGTCATTCAGGATATCCCTTGCAGTACAACAGACCCTGACCATAGCTTTACTAGTGACAACCTGCACTGACATGCTTTTTAAAAATATTTTTAATAATTTTTTAATATTCCATTCTCAGTTCCCTGCCTTCCTATCCCTTGGCTGCCTCCACTCCCTGCTCACCTCCCATACAGTCCTTGGAGAGGGTAAGGCCTCCCCTAGGAGGTCACAATGTCTTTCACACCATCTCCTTGAGCAAAGCACAGTGCACCTCTCCACTCCCACAGCTCTGTGTCTAGGCTGAGGATCTCTACATATAGAATGGGCTCTTCTAAATACTGCATGCTTTTTAATAAAGAAAAAAGACAATCTGTGTCAAAACACACACACACACACACACACACGTACATAATTTAAGATAGAGAGTCTAGAACATCTTTTAAATTAAAGATACAAGAACTCTTGGTGGAGTAGATGATAATTCACTATAACACGAATTTTGTCAGTAAAAGACAAATCAATAATACCAGAGCAAAGAGTAATCACTTTAAAAATTCATTTTGATATACTTAACCACACACCAAATCCTTCACTGAAAGTTGTTACCATAGACTAGTGTTGAGTCATTTTACCTTTCCCCATAAATCAAATTTTATGTATTTGTTTACAGCTAACTCTATTCCTGAATTGTTTCGCAGCAAGAATCAAATTTCTTATTGTTTTATAGTTAGAGATGTGTCTACATGACATACTGAGGAGTCCTCAGGGTGTGGACTCTGTAACTTTGGCAACTTTTGAGGCTCCGGCTCAGATCACATTATAATAGAGCAGTGGGATTCCACACCAAGAATGTAAGAGACCAGTTCATGTTACCTGGATCCCTGCATGATCACTGCCCTGTTTCCTGAGGCTGGATTGTCTTTGTCTCACGTTGTACACTGACTTTCAATGACATTGAATGGACATCAGTGTATGATGTAAAAAGGTCTCCTCCCTCACCACTATGTAGAATCATCTTGCCTGTGAACCTGTAACAGTGACCACACCCCTATGGGCTTGGCTTAGGTGCAGACAGAAGCAGAAAGAAGAAAGCATGAGATGTGGTCTCTCTCTAGCTCTCTGTGTCTTGGGTTGCAGATCTGCTGAGAAGGGCAGAGAAATGCCATGACAGTTCTTTATTGTTCTGTGTAAATTGTTCCCCAATAAAACACACATTTATCATTTTTCTTGGGTCTAGTGAAATCATTACATCCATTTCTTCACCTATAAACACCCATATATATTTTAGTTGTTAGAGGTAACAAGGTCAAATTAGGACTTATCTTGATTCTTGGCTCTGTTATAACTATAATATGTCTGGATCCAAGCATTCTGTCCCTGTATGCTTTTTTTTGGTTTTATATCTTTGATTTGTTTTGTTTTTCTAATTGGGAGAAAACACATAAATCTTGGCTGTACAAATGTTGAATATCAGAAATAATGAACAGAAAGATTGAACAGAAATAATAATGCTATTTATAACATGGCTAGAATCTGACTGTTTTAATTAAAACAATTATAAATAAATGAAAAAAGGAAATAACACAGTGGACAGTATACACAGAGAGAAAATAGATTAATAATATATATATATATATATATATAATATATATTATATATATATTATATATAATATATATGATACCATAATAGAGGGAGTCGGTATAGGTTTAAAGAGAAATCTGGCATTAGAGAAATATTTAGAGATTTATCAGGATGACCCCACCTAACAATCTAAGCAATAGTGGAGAGGCTACCTTAAGTGAATTTCCCATATAATGAGATTGATGACTACACCATGCTAGAGCCTTTGTCTCGTAGGTGATGGAAGCAGAGGCAGACACCCACTGATAAACACTGAGCTGAACTGTAATCCAGTTGCAGACAGGGAGCAGTGATGAGCAAAGGGCTCAAGACGAGGCTAGTGGAACCCACAGAAACCCTTGACATTCACAAGGGGAGCTCAGGACCTCAGACTGATAGCTGGGAAACCAGCATAGGTCTGTTCCAGATCCCCTAAATGAGGAGGCCAGTGAGGAGGCCTGGGCAGTCTATGGGGCCTGTAGCAGTGCATAAGTATTAATCCCCAGTTTACAGATTGACTTTGGGAGCCCATTCCACACAGAGAAATACTCTCTCAGGATAGACACTGGGGTAGTGCCTAAGCCCTTCTCCAAATGATATGACAGATTTTGAAGATGCCCATGGAAGTTCTCCCTGTCCCTGAGGAGCAGAAAGGGGCTGGGATAGCAGTAGGTGGGGACAGGAAAGGAGAGGAAGGGGAGGAAATTTGGCATTATCATGTGAAACAAGATAGTTTTTAATTTAAATAAAAAATATAAAAAGAAATAAAAGAATTGAGGAAAAGGAAAAATACAGGAGAGAAGAATTTGGTGGGCATGTTGGGCTAGGGCTTGAAGGTGGGGTGGTGACAAGATGTGTGTCCTGTGATCCCTGCAGTCCCCATGCTCTCTATTCCAGACTCACTCTGTAGGAAGTCAGACACAGTGATGGCTGTGTTGTAATAAGGAAATGGAGTGGTATCCACCCTCCTCTTTTATAAGGACAAGGCTCACTCCCCACATGCAAATTCATCTTCTAGATTTAAGTTAAATCCCCTCCTGAGCTGTGGGAGCTTAGAACTGTTCCACAGGAGGCTGACCTCTGAGAAAAGGGGGTGTAGCCTAGAAGATGACAATGTTGGGTCTTCTGTACCTGGTGACAGCCCTTCCTGGTGAGTGTGGCCATTTCATACATGTGTCCATGAGGGGATGTGACAACATGTGATTGACAGAATTGACTCTTCCTGTCTGCAGGTGTCCTGTCCCAGATCCAGCTTCAGGAGTCAGGACCTGGCCTAGTGAAGCCCTCACAGTCGCTGTCCCTCACTTGCTCTGACACTGGTTACTCCATCACCAGTGGATACTACTGGAGGTGGATCAGGCAGTTCCCAGGGAAGAAGCTGGAGTGGATGGGGAACATAGGTTATGGTGGTGGCACTGGCTACAACCCATCCCTCAAGAGCCGCATCTCCATCACCAGAGACACAGCCAAGAACCAGTTCTTCCTGCAGCTGAACTCTGTGACCACTGAGGACACAGCCACATATTACTGTGCAAGAGACACAGTGAAGGGACTTCAGCATGAGCCCAGACAAAAACCTCCCTGCAGAGGAGCTCTGGGCCAGCAGGGGGCGCTCAGCCCTTACCAACCCTAAGAACTCAGAGCAGGGAATGAAAAACACCTGGTTTGCTCTGATTTTTCTTCCCACTCCCTAAGCACAGAGAACACAGTGAGTCTTTTCTCTCTCTGTTGCTGAAATGCTGTGTTTATGTAATGTCTCCTTTATTTGTTTTTCACTCTGTCCTTGAAGACAGGAAACACAGTAGTATTTCTTGTACTTTTGATTGTGAATCTAACCCAAACCAGCTGAGCCATCTCTCTGGTCTTGGGAATATTTTTTAATAAAAACATGTTTTTGAAAGACAGCTTATCTTGGCCTTGCAGTAGTTTTGCCATTAAAAAATTAATTCTATGTTGGAGTCTCCATTACTTCCATCCTTGGATACATCTGAATGTTATATCACTTCCTAGATTATTGACAGGAAGCAGTTGTGGCTATGCCTAAGGAATGTGCCACAGACTGAGTGGGGTCCTCACATCACTGCAGCTGTGTGACCCACCCCACAAGGCAGAGCAGGGATTTCCTGAGGTGAACTGCACATGGCTAAGGTACAAAGTCTGTTGTGAGGTTGTACAAGGCAGAGCAGGGATTTCCTGAGGTGAACTGAACATGGCTGAGACACAAAGTCTGTAGTGAGGTTGGCACTCACTCCCAATGCTGGGATATATTGTCCAAACAGTTCTTAAGCTTGCAATGTAATTAAAACCATCAAATTAAACAAATCCTCCTGTGTTTACACTTATAAATACTATTCTTTGACTGTGTCAAAAAGAAGGTACTGAACTATTAGAGTCAGAATTTGCAATAGGGACTTGAACTCCAGCATCAGCATTGGTAGGGATACCTCAGTCGCCAAGTTTTCTTAAATGAACCTCCTGCCATGACCTACTGTTCCAGAGGCACAGGAGGAGACTTCAGTGTGAAGTCACACACAAGCCTCCCTACACAGGAGCTTGGGAACAACACAGGCCCTTAAGAAATGCTGGAGCTACTCAGAAATACTAGATGGCCCTCAGATGACAGGCAGTTCTCATTTGACACCATGTACTTCCCTGTAAATAAGTGTACGTCTGATTATATTTTAGAATACGTGGTTTCTTCTTCCTGTTCAAATAATCTTCTAGGGACCCTTGGCCATGTCCTATTCTATCACAGTTACTACTATTTCCATTTTACTGTGCATACAATGATTTCCCCATGGAGCATCAAAGGTATCTGTTTGCAACCTGCTGTCATAATAAAAACAAAAAATAAAACTTGATTTTCCACAGTGTCTATAATTTTAAGACTTGGTGATGATAGGTTTAGATGGAAATCATGGGGAAATTTAAATAACCTGATAATGCTTATTATTTATTTCCCATCTTGTGGAGTAAAATCTAAATCTTCCATGAAGGATTGTGATTACCACAGAAAGATGGGAAAACAGGATCTCTACTTTTTCCATCTTTCAATGTGTTAAAGCTCTGGAAGGGTACAGTTAATTCACAGATTTACTCAATCATATTGGAAATTTGCATCCTTGTAAAGATTACAATGCAACTCAATCCCATGCAATGATTCCTTTGCAGGTGTTTCTTGTTCCCCATCTTGTGAAAAGTCTGAGTGATCATTGTGCACAAGGCAGGTGATGTCATCTAAGGTGTCTGTTCTAACCCAGCTTCCATTGTCAGCAGAGTTCCTTATCTCAGTTTTCTTCTTTCTGCTGCTATTTCCTGGTTCACATTGTCTACTTGCTCACTGGTGTGAACTCTTTGAATCACCTGAAGGTAGAAAAGCTGGAGTGTTACCTGTGAGTTAGAGCAGATAAATGGGAGAAGTTATGGTTGGTGTTAGTTTAGGGTTATGGATTACAAGTTTCAGGAATCTCTGGATACTATTATAGTGACCTCAGCAATGCGTCAATAATTTTGGGTGAACAAATAGACTATATAATGTGGGATTACTGAGATCCAGAAAAATCACACCTCATTGAACAGTCCAGTGTGAAGGTGAAAACCAAGAGAACCACTGTGTGTTCCCTGACACCAGGGTGACCTCAGGCCACATGGCAGCCAGTGCCATATGGTGACCACAGTGAACCTGTAGATTGGGCAGACTCTTGACACCAGAAGTCTGTAAATTAGTTACTCTATATCTCACAGGTATACTGAATAAAAGACACACATTCTTGAGCAATATTTAATGAATGTGAGATAACCTATTTCTGCTTAGATTTGGGCAAATAATTCTTCAACAACTCTATGAGTCCAGTTGATACAAACCTTAAAAGCACCAGCCAGGGTCTCCTGATTATGGTCAGTGAGAACTGAGTTTTAAACAGACCAGGATGGAGAGGCCAAGGCATGACTGAGACTGTGACAAGTTTAGTATTTTTAAACTCAGAATGATAAGAGTATAAAAATTATAAGGACAACAGGGGGCACAATGGAGATATTAATCACTAGGATGGAAATCAGAAGATGATTGGAGGGACTCCAGAGCCCCTGTGGATTCCCTTCTTAAAGACTATCAGCTGAACAACACCTGATACAGTTGATATGTGAAGTCAAGCATTTTCAAACTCAGTAAAAATTCATTGTTAAATATTGCACAAATTTGTATTTTCTCATTTTTAAAAATAGTTATTCATTTTGGATTTTTTAAAACAACTTTTCATGAAAAATATTCTGATGACATTCTATGGCCAATCCTCTCAGATATTTTCCATATTCCTACCAGAAACCCCAAAGCCTTTTTCTATTGAAACCAAAGAATATACTAGAAGAAAGTTATTTCGAAAAAGAAAAAAATTGCCAGAAACAAACTCCTGTAACATTCTGGAAAAGAAAATATTAATATCTTACAGATGAAAGAGTAATAATTCTCCCAATTTAGGTGGTTTTGAAATTTCCATTAACAATTTTCTTCATCACTACCCAAACCTGTGAATTTGTCAGGGAAATTAAATAATTTTTCAGGTTGGGATTCTATTTCTAAATTGAGGGATTAGGCCTTGATGTTATATCCACAGGATCTGCACAAGTCTCAGGCATGACTGCTTCCTCAGACAGGATGAAGATTTGGACCTCAATATCCTGATGCCTGACCCAGGTCTCCTCTCCCTCCTTCTTCTCCAGCTGGACCAGGTCCTTATCTAAGAACTACCCTGCTCATGAATATGCAAATCATGTGAGTCTATGTGGTAAATACAGGGATGTCAACACCACCAACTACACATGATCAGTGTCCTCTCCATAGTCACTGAGCACACAGGTCCTCACCATGGGATGGAGCTGGATCAACCTCTTCCTGGTGACAGCAGCTACAGGTAAGGGCTCCAAGTTCCAGACTTGAGGAGGGGCCATGCACTCAGGTGACAGTGACATTCACTCTGCCTTTCTCTCCACAGGTGTCCACTCCCATGTCCAGCTGCACTTGGGGCTCAGCCGCTGAGGCCTGGAGCCTCAGTGAAGGTGTCCTGTAAGACTTCAGGCTACAACTTCACTGGTTACTATATGAGTTGGGAAACCCTGAGGCCTAGACAGGGACTGCAGTGGATTGGAGCTATTGATCCAGAAGACAGTGAATCTATATATGCTCAAAAGGGCAAGGCCATACTTACTGCAGAAAAATCCTCCAACACAGCCTACATGGAGCTCAGCAGCCTGACATCTGAGGACTCTGAAGTCTATTACTGTGCAAGAAACACTGTTGCAACCACATCCTGAGTGTGTCAGTAACCCTGGAGGAGCAGGAATATGTCCTGGCACTGAGATGATAGAGAAGATCAGCCTGGGTACTTGCTCTGGAATAATCATTTGTTGTGACCCTTTGTAACTTCACAGTCTTACAGAGTCTTTTTCATCAGTTCAAAAGGACTGTTGGGAATAAAGTGATGCTAATTTTGGATGTCCCTACATTACACCCTACTTGACCAGAGCATTATGAGTGACCACCTCTATTTATATGATTATTCTCTAATAAAACTAAAAAGGCAAATTCTGGTGCCACAATAACACACACACACACACACACACACACACACATTCTGGACTTGATGGGAATAAACTATAAATCAACAATTTCAGGACAAACAGAAAAACCCTTCAAAATTCAATTTGATATATGTGGCCCCAGTTCAAATACTTCGTTGAGATGTTGTTCCCCAAGATTTGTGGGGAGTCACGTTAACTTCCCTAATAAATCTAACTCATGTTTTTGTTTATAGATATGTCTAAACCTGAATTATTTTTGGTATTAGTAATCAAAATTCTTACTAATTTAGACTCACAATTAGAACTGACTATTGTATAAACAAGCCCTGTGAGTAGCAAATCCATTTTTTCCCATCTGACCTGGCTTTTCTCACATATGAGCACACTCAAGGGGAGAATTGGTTGGGATGTCTGATTTCCTCCAAGTGTATTTATTTTCCTCCTGCAATTTTTTCTCAAAGTTCATCCTTATCCTTCCTTATCCTCCCAGCCTTTTCTAGCAGATCACAGCATACTCAGTAAGTGTCTCCTTTTCCAGTAAATTTGGACAGAATTTCCTTGTCATCCAAGGTATAGTACCCATCTGTTCTAATCTGTGCAAAGTAAAGTTTCAACACCATCATGAAGATCTCTCTTGGTCTAATATAAACTCAGTGTCGGAATATATAGGAAAGAGGGTTCCCTTATTTGTGAATTCCGGGAACCATCAACAGAAAGACTAATATTGGTATGAATGCAGGGCTGCTGTTATGTGTGAACTTGCTGGACCCATGCAAGGTTTATAGGGCTGACTTCTGTGGGAGGAGACTGGATTTCTGAAGAGTAGACACAGCTTTCATCCTCCACAGAACTCCATCTTATGGGTCCCCTGAGGCATCCCAGTCACACAGGATTCCTAGGACAACCTCCTGACCTGTACAGGATTGCTGAGACAGAATAAATTGTCTACAAACACTGAAGAGCAACCCC